TTGGATGATCGTGAGGTGAGCAGCGCCAGGTGCTACGTGGAGATGCATTTCATCTGCAGCCGGCCGGACGAGTGCTCTCGAAGGAAGCTGAGCGCCGCCAGAGGGGACACAGTGTCGAAGATCACTTGAAGGGCCAATGCACCCTCTTCAGGGAGTGCCCAGTTTTCACATGGGTCATCTCTGGTGGACCCGCCTACCTCTCTGACCGCAGATCCCAGCTGGAAATCTGTCTTTACAAGGCAAACAGCATTAACTTACTGCAGGAGAGCTCCGTGGCGGTGGTACTACATGCTGGTGACCCTTAATACGTGAAGGGCTTAACTTATTTAGCTGGAATCTCAGCTTTTATTTTGTAGCTTGTTTGGTTATGAAGAAACCCTGCCAAAGCAAACAGAGCTCGAAACAAAGACTCAGAAAAGAGTCCCATTTATGGAACCGGCGTGTTAACTCTGGAACCTAGTGACGACACTACTGTCTTCCAGTTTCTTCCTTCACTTCCTGGCGAGGGTCATGGACACAGCATGGAGAGTAAGGAGGACTAGACCGGGCTGCCAACATACTACAACAGACCTTGGGCAAGATCTGTGTGGGGGAGGAGGGATCGAGGCAAGAAGGGGTGGAAGGGATGGGGTTGGGGCAGCTGCTCCCTTCCCCTCCGTCCTCCCTTGGGTATTTCTGGGACCAGGTCTCCCTTTTCCCCACAGTAGGTTCCAACTCCTGGGGGACACGCAAGCATTCCCAGCCAGCCAGGAGATACAGTCCATCCCGCGTGTTCTGGGTTGTCCATGGGGCCTCCTACCAGGGGCAGATACTCAGGGGCTACGTCTACACTGGCATGTTTTTCTGAAAATGCTTTTAACGGAAAAGCACCTCAGCGGCTACCTCACCTCCCTCTCTCAGCTGCGCCTTGCAGTGCAGCGCTGCCTACTGGTCACAGAGGGAAACGGCACGAACTTCTGCAATAAGATGAGATGGGGGTAGGGGATCGAATATGGAACTTCTGAAATTAGATGCTCAAAATCTTAGCTAAGGCTCCCACCCGGCAGCAACCCAGGAACAGCAGTGTCTGCATCCCACTCCCAACACTTCCCCAGCCAGGCCAGAGCCTGGGGGTCTCCAGGGACATTCCCTTGCTGGCAAGCCCTGGCCTATAGGAGGAGGGTCCCGCACACCCAGCTCCCCTGCAAAGGCTCCAGGCCCCGGGGAAGCCACAAAGGGAAAGCAAGAAGCAAACACCTGCCCAGCCCCACACCCACATCCCCAGACAGATGATGCCCTTGGATGCAGGGCCAGAGGGGCTGGCCTGGCCTGTCAATCAATTCCCTGGGCTCAGCAGCAACCCAATCAGCCCTTACCGCAGGGGTGGGCCAGAATTTTTGCTGGAGGGCCACTTAATGAATAGTGGGATGTGGTCACGGGCTTGCTCTTCCTCCAGAAGTGGGGTTCTATGCCAGAGGGGACCAGCCTCCTCCCAGAGCTGTCTGGGGTTGGGGCTTTGAATTAACAACACAGCAAAGGGCTCGCCCCTCTTAGCCCAGCTGCTACTGGGGTGCCTGGCAGCCACCCAGGGTTGCTGCAGCTCTTTAAAGGGCTCATGGGTGTGGCCCCAGGGTAGCACTGGGGCTGGGAGCCGGGAGCCATTGAAATAGGATCCTGCTGCCTGAGTGACCCTCTGGAAATTCAGTGGCACTGGCTGGGGAGCAGCAGTTTGTGCATCAGGAAAAAAAATAAAAGGTTTCCACCAGCCAGTCCCCGGTGAACCACCCTCAGCAAGGACAGTAGATGTTGCCAAAGACGAAGTGGAAAATGTCGAATCCTTTACCTGCCTTGGCAGCCGTCTCTCACAGGTGGCAGCCGGAGATGTCAAATTCAGGGCAGCCTTGCCCTGTGCAGACTGCCTCGCCGGGTGTGCGCCATCACAACATCCCAACTCGGGTCAGACTTCCGGCTGAGAAAGCCGAGTTCACCCCAAGTCTCTGCTCGCACTGGGAGAGGTGGTGACCTGTAGACCGGAGGCGTCCCACAAAAACCCAACGCGTCCACAGAACACGTTTCCTCTTCTGCTTTTTTTCACGGAAAAGCAGACACGCTCTTGCGAGGAACCCTGTGCACCTCGTGTCACCTGGCCCTGCCTCTGCTTAGGGGCCAGACATGGCAGCTCCTTCTGAGAGCAGCACGGAGCCAGGGCAGAAAGGGAGCCCCCCTCAGCCCCACCGCACTGCTGACTAGGAACCACCTGAGGTAAGCACCCCCCAGGCAGAGCCCGTATCCCAAACGCCCCCTTCTGCTATTCAATTCTCCCAGGCCCTGCACCCCAACCCCCTAGACCTCAACAGAGTCCCCTTGAGCACCCCAACCCCTTGCCCCAGGCCAGACAGGAGCCAGGGCAGAAAGGGAGCCCCCCTCAGCCCCACCGCACTGCTGACTAGGAACCACCTGAGGTAAGCACCCCCCAGGCAGAGCCCGTATCCCAAACGCCCCCTTCTGCTATTCAATTCTCCCAGGCCCTGCACCCCAACCCCCTAGACCTCAACAGAGTCCCCTTGAGCACCCCAACCCCTTGCCCCAGGCCAGACAACGCTCC